GCCACACACCCCGCCAAGAAAAACATGCTTGCTTTAATAGTTTATACCCCTTCATAGCATTTTTTTTGGAAAATACTTGGCCATCGTTGGATGTGCAAAACCTTCATGCTGATTGTCGAAACCTACAAAATACCCGTTCACGACAGGTTGGTGCAAGGATGCTCGGGCTGCATGTCTTCACGGGCATCCTGGTAACATATAAATCGGATACACTGCAAAGAAATAATCCGAGACATGTAGACTACTATATTTGAACAACACCGCAATACAAGGCATCTTTTGTACAACATGTAAGGACCCGCCAAACATGGACTGAGACACAGCTGATGTAGGAGATTTGCCAATGGAAACCATGCCTTGCTGAGCCCGCTTGTTGCTGAGTTTTCTAAGTCTTGAGTGTGTGCGTGCTTACTGGTCTGCGTGCCTCTCTGAGTGCTTGTTGTGTGTGTGACCCGCAAGGGTACTTGAATGTGCAGGGGCCCGAGGGGCCAGTACTTACCTGTGGCCGTGACATTGAGGGCTGCAGTGGGGAAAACACTCAAGTGGCAGGGAAAGAGGCCCGAGACACTTGGGAGCACCGGAAAAACACTCAAGTAGCAGGTAGGCCGGTACCACACCAAGAACAGGTAGATGTGCCGGGTACTCGAGGCCGAGCAGAAGAAGACAAAGTTGGCATTTTTAAAGGACCAGTAGCTGTAGGCTAGGTCTAGGCGGGGACCAGTCCAACCAGTCTGAGTCTAGGGCCTGTACGGGCAATACGGGCAATATCAGAGTCTGCAATGAAGTTTCCCTCCGGAAAGCAGGAGGTACCCATTGCTTGGAGGCCGCACGGCCTAGGAAGTCACCGCCCAAGCAAGCAGGCCGCTATATCTCCAGGAGGAGCGAAGTGCTCCTCATTCTTCGGTGTGCCAGTTTGGCAACACATTCCCACAATGCTTGGAGTGCTGGCTGGAGCAATGCTGCTGGGGAGGACAGAGCGCCCAGCTCTCCACCCCGGCTATGGTGGAGGAGCATGGGCTGGAGGAGGATGAAGACGACGACTAGGAAGAGGGAGAGTGCCAAAGGTACTTGTCTGGCTATGGTCGATGCCATCTCCATCATCTTCGTGTGCAATCCTCATTCTTCGTGCAAGTTTGGTAACACACTGCTTGGAGTGCTGGCTGGAGCAGCGCTGCTGGGGAGGACACGGCGCCCAGCTCTCCACCCCGGCTATGGTGGAGGACCATGGGCTGGAGGAGGACGAAGACGAGAACTGGGAAGAGGGAGAGCACCAAAGGTACTTACCTGTCTATGGTGGATGCCATCTTCATCACCTTGGTGGGCGCCGCATCTGGAAGGCCCCAGTTGGGGTGGAGCTAAACAAAGACGCTTCAAGGCAGAGTCAGGCATGGCGGCCTGAGCTAGAGCAGCCATAGCTGCTTTGTGTCGTCCTTTGCACAGCAGGGCAATACCCCGGTAGTACGTCATAGCCTCGGCCTTGGAGGAATGAGCAAGAAGGATGGCCATCGCTATGGTGGACCTCATGTGATACCTGCCGTAGAGGAGGGATTCAAACATTGATTCTGGTTCAGCCATTCAACATTATCTATATAACTAATAAAAGAAGGATACGAGCCCCGTCAGATGCTTCCCCTGGGCCCAGGGTGGGCCCGCACATCAGTTGGATGGGACACACATAGTGCCCCGTTTCGTACGTTTTTTTTTTATTTGGGCGGGCGGGCCCGCACGTTCGTACGTTTTTTTGGGGGGGGCGTTTGGTACAGTTGGTGTTGGCGTGGCTTTATGAACGGTGTCCCTTTTCGCTGGGCCCAGGGAAAATTGGGCCCGCCAGTGCCCCGTTTCGTACGGTTTTTTTTTATTTGGGCGGGCGGGCCCGCACGTTCGTACGTTTTTNTTCGCTGGGCCCAGGGAAAATTGGGCCCGCCAGTGCCCCGTTTCGTACGGTTTTTTTTTATTTGGGCGGGCGGGCCCGCACGTTCGTACGTTTTTGGGGGGGGGCGCTTGGTACAGTTGGTGTTGGCGTGGCTTTATGAACAGGGTCCCTGATTTTCGCGCCGCGCCATCCATTGCAGAAAGGGTTATCCAGCAGGTGCCGGGCAGATTCGACCAGGCAGTGTATATTTCCATGTTCTAGCAAAAGAATCATTCGATTTTGCTCATCCTATCGATGGAAGTAGTATGAGGCCAGCCACGACGTTGGAGACTCGCTCTCTCTCTCTCTCTCTCTCACACACACACACACGCACACACACGCACACACACACACACACACACGAAAAAAAAAAGGTAAAGAAAACTGGCAGTGTATATTTCCATGTTCTAGTGGATGATTCATTCATATTTCGCTAATCCTATCGATCGAAGTAGCCTCTCTCTATCTCTCTTCCCGCATCTGGAAAGCAGTATATATTTCCATGTTCTAGCAGAAGATTCATTCCGATTTTGCTCATCC